TCTTTTCTTCACCTATTAGAAACAGTGCTAATGATCCTTGGGCAAGAAGTGAAGAAGACAAAGCGCACCTATTTGCTAAATACTTGTCTAATGTTTTTAAACCATTTGATTCCACCATTGATAAAGAGATTGAAGAAGAATTGCTTAAACCTCTACAGTCTTCACAATCTTTCAAACCTATCAAGCCCAAAGAAGTCAACTCGCAAATCCAGATGTTAAATACAAGAAAATCGCCTGGTTTTGACAAAATAACAGCAAGGGTGTTGAAAGAACTTCCTAAGAAAACGATTGTTTTAATAACATATATATTTAATGCCATACTCAGAGTAGAGTATTGGCCAAAATCATTCAAGACTGCCCAAATATTAATGGTTCCTAAAAAAGGCAAAAACTTGACTGAGGTATCTTCATATAGACCAATATCCTTGCTTCCCGTAATATCTAAACTGCTTGAAAGGATTCTTTTGGACCAAATCAACAATGAGCTTCCTTCAGATTGGATCCCCTACCATCAATTTGGCTTTAGACGTGAACATTCGACCACACAGCAAGTTCACAGGGTTATTGACACTGTACATAAGTCATTTGAAAATAAGCATTTCTGTAGTGGTGTCTTCCTGGATGTTCGACAAGCATTCGATAAGGTTTGGCACCCAGGACTTTTATATAAAATAAAAACATACCTTCCATCCAGGTATTATGGGATTTTCAAATCATATCTACAAGATAGGATTTTTCAAGTAAAAGTAAATCAAGTAACATCTGATTTCCACAAAATAATGTCAGGAGTTCCACAAGGTAGTATTTTTGGACCCTTCTTATATGTTTTATACACAAAGGACCTCCCATTACTTGAAAATCTGACACTTGCTACATTCGCTGACGATATTGCCATACTAAGTAGTAATCACAGTGCTGATGAAGCTTCCCGACAAACGCAAGAACATATCAATAAACTACAAATGTGGCTTGCCAAATGGAAGATTTGCATAAATGAAACCAAATCAGCTCATATCACATTTACCCTGAGAGAGGGTACTTGTCCTCCAATTTATTTAAACAACGTCCAGATTCCGAAACAGAACATAGTGAAATATCTTGGTCTTCATTTAGATAGCAGACTTACTTGGAAAAGCCACATAAAAACAAAAAGCAGCAAATAATGATCAAAATGAAAGAATTTGATTGGCTTCTGCGTAAAAAGTCTAAGCTCGCTGTTGAAAATAAGTTGCTGCTATATAAATCAATTATCAAACCAATCTGGACTTACGGAATTGAGCTCTGGGGATGTGCTTACAAATCTAATATAGCTATAATGCAGAGAACTCAGTCAAAAATTTTACGTACAATTCTTAATTCTCCATGGTACGTAACAAATGAAACCATTCACAGCGACCTCAAGATGAAAACGGTGCATTTAACTTTCCAAGAATTCAATGAAAAATACAAACGCAAACTGGACTCACATTCGAACCCCTCTATAGTTGAAATTACTAAACCTTATGGTATAAGAAGATTGAAACGACAATGGCCTTTAGACTTAGTCTTAGATTAGGTCTAAATAATATTATTTATAGCAATTGTTAAACTGAGAAGATCTCATTGGAGCTCTTCTTAGGCTTCGCTCTTACATTGTCATTTTAGCTCATAGGAATCTTAATGTATTTCTGATTGCTAAATAAAATGAGTTAAAAAAAAAAAAAAAAAAAAAAAATATTCAGTAGCCAATTATAAAGAGCCCGATGAGACAAATCCTGTAATGAATTATTATCAATTAGATATAGAAACTTGAAATACAACAAATAGTTGAGTTTAAGCAAATGTAAATACTTGACCCATTTATTCAAACGTTTGTTACAAAAATCTAATATCACATCAAACGAAATCATATCTATTCCTACTATTTCTTAGTATACTTTTCTCACACTCCAAAAAATTTCACCAGTCATTGCAACAACATTTTCATATAATAAATAATATTTATCATTTATTATTATCATAAATCCCATTCGTTTGACATCGTTTTCTAATATTTATTTATGCTCACTATGGCCCTTTGATTAGCATTCGATATATAAATATTTATTCATTTATTCAAATCATATTTGAAACTTCCATCTTTCTATTGTGAGATCATAATTCAAGTAGCGTCCCACTTAGATGATAGTCTCTTGGAAGTAAACAAAATATGTCAAGATAGATAAACAATAACAATGAAAATAAAAATCTCACACGTGAATTATTATCAAAGTTTATAATTTACATTAGTAGTACAACATATAGAGATATACTTTGAGAATTGAATTAAATCAACCTAAATAGCAATTTTTATTACATCCATATTAAATAAAATACTGCTTTTTAAATATAAAAAAAATATTGTGCTAATTGTATTTAAATATGCACAATGTTAAAATCACAGATATTCATGTATAATATAATCCTGTTTTAATAATGATTATAGAGTTATGAAAGAGAATTATCCAATTATTATATTTACAGCAATAAGTTGAAGCAAATTAGTAACTATGAATGCAGTTTAGTAATGTGAATTAATATAACGCACTTTGCTTAGAATTTTTCTATTTTATTTATTATGTTCGTCGATTATGAATATTTATTATGTTGGAAATTTTGAGTAATATTTTTGTTGTCTCTGAAATAATTTATTTCTGTTCATTAACTCGTTAATTTGTGTTAAATGAATAAATTGAAAATCCAACTAAAAGTTTGTAGTAAAATACTAAATTATTTTCTATCATTTTTCTTTTTTGTTTATATGAACAATAGTCAGAACTATAAAAGTTTAATGAGCAGTTGTGATATGATTCCTTAAATCTATACTCTAGTGACTAGTGACTAGAGTCTAGTCCATAGGTGGGGAACCTGCGGCCTCGAGGCCGCATGCGGCCTCCGGGAGGTTCTTGTGCGGCCCCTTGCCGTCTAGTACAAAATAGCAAAGTTACTTTCAAACAACTATTGTACAAAAATCTCATGTAACGTGACATCAGATTACTAGCCTGAAACACAGACTCTTAGGCATATACAAAATAGAGATGTAATATATTATATTAATATTATTTAATATAAGCAATATTTTCGATTTTGCAAGACATCGCCTATTATATGATTCAAGAAGTGTTATAAAAAAAATTAACAGTGCAAAAGAATCGTTAGCATCTGTAGTAAAATGATAAAAATTTATACTCCTCGCAGTTTTGCCGGAGATCGGTGCAACCAGATGTTACCAAGATATATTGGCAATTTTATGACCATAGTTATAAAATGACACAAAACTATACCTTTTTTTATAAAATAAAAAATATATTTTTAAAATAGCTGTAGGCAAAATATGTGTCCGTATTTATTTGCACATAATATATAGAAATTATTTATATTTAAATATTGATATATAAATATAGAGTAAGGTATTTGAAATGAGAAGAACTCAAATGCAAAATATAAATGAACAATACATTTTATGCATAATAAATGCATTTTTTAATTAAAATATTTCTTCCACGTTCATTATATATATACATTATCAAAGTTTATACATTATAAAATAATACGCTTTATTTTCATTGGTAAACATTATTATTCTCTAAATGGAGTAGGTACATCATTTATTAATATTATTTTTTAAATTATATTCTTAAGTGTCTGTCAATAGTGTCTAGGTATAATTCTTTTGGAAAGAGGTAACGTTGCGTTTAATGCATTAATTCTTTTTTTGTTATTATAACTATTGTCATGAATGAGAGCAAGCAGGAATATGCATACCAAGATTTCACAAATGAATTTAATCTGGTTTTTCCGAAGCCCAAATTTCCCTGAATTAACCGTTAACACCTTAGTTTGGAAAATAAAAACCTCAGTGAATTCAATGGTATAAGAAAAATTTATAATTTTTTATTTCAAATAATTATGTAACAATAAGAATATGAAAATCAAAAGACTTTAATATCATTTTTATATAAAAAATGAATGTAAATGAAATTAAAACAAACTAAAATTCGATTTTATCGAAACAAAGTCGATTTTATCTCATTACATACGTTCGAAACATACCAACATTTTTTACAATCTTCAAGAAAAATTAATGAAATTTCGTTCGATTTCCTTCGACACTCAGAAATTTTACATCTCAATATTTATTGGTCATTTTGTCATAAATTGCTCAGTTGCCTGGTTGCTTAGTGGATGGGAACCATAAGACGCATGAGGGAGGCAGCCACATGTTAAATAGGCCCAAATCACATGTTCGGAGACAATATGTTTACATCGATATTTATTGGTCGCATCTACATTTGGCTTGCATTTTGTAACGCTACCCAGTTGCAATCTTCAGCAAACTGTAGTTAACAGTGCAATCTTGTAGCAGTTACACGGCTTTATTGAATTTCTAGACTTTGTTAAAAAAATTATTTGATATTCGTTTTTTTATTTATCCATCATGTCAAATTGTAAGAGAAGAAAGTTATGTAATGAAAATAGAACATTTAATGTAGAGTGGGAGTTAGATTTTTTTTTTAGTCCTGAGAAAGATAAAATGGTGTGTTTGTTGTGCAATACAGTGTTAAATACTTAAAAAAAAGCGAATGCAAATAAACATTATCTGACTCATAAAGAGCATAAATATTTTGCTTTAGAAGGTGAATCGCGAAAAACTGCACTTCGAAAGTTGAAAAATGAGAAGCATTACCAGCAGGCATCTTTTAGTGCCTTTGTCAATCAAAATTCCGCTGCAGTTGCTGTTTCCTATAAAATAGCACATATACTTGGAAAACGGGGCAAACCATTCAGTGACATTGAAATGATTAAAGAATGTATTGTTGAAGCAGTGAGTATGTTAGATCCAAGAAATGTCGACAAATATAAACAATTACCTCTTTCGAGAAGAACTATAACAGATCGACAGCACGAATTAGCGCAAAATATAACAGAGCAGCTTCATACAATTTTACGAAATGAAGGTGTTTATTTTTCAATTGCGTGAGATGAAAGCACTGATAAAACAGATTCAGCAAGTATTATATTTTATTCGTGCCGTAACTAAAGATTTTCAATGTTACGAAGAACTACTTGCGTTGGGTACACTAACTGGAAGAACTCGCGGAGCCGATATTTTTAAAAACTTTAAAGAAGTATGTGATAAATTACAATTGAATGTCAGTAATTTAGTCAGTGTCTGCACCGATGGAGCACCTTCCATGAGAGGCAAAAAAGAAGGATTCATTGCATTATTGAAAAAAAAAAACTTAAACTTAAAAAAATTGATATCATTCCACTGCATTTTGCACCAGCAAAATCTTTGCGCGAAATCAACCATTTTGCAAGACACTCTGGATAAAACCATTGCAATTGTCAATTATATTCGCGTAAACGCAATGCGTCATCGTGAATTTCGGCAAATGCTCTTGTTAGATGAGGAAACGTATAGTGTTGACTAGGGAATGCAATACCGATCAAAAATTTAATTACCGGTATTTCGATATTTTCGACTTTTAAAACCGGTAAACCGGTAAATTACCGGTAATAAGATTATTTTTAAAAAATGTAAACAAAATTGAAAGTTACTTATACAAATACAAAAAACAGACCTAATAAAGATAAAAAAAAATAATAATAAAAACCAAAGAATAAAAGAACAATTGAACAACAAAACATTTATTTTTAATAATAATGTATCAAAATAATATAAAAATTAATAAAATATAATTACATGAATAAAAATAGTTTATTATAATTACTTATGCGAACTAAAATAAGATTTTAAAAAACAAATATGATCTAATGTACCGTCGTCTAATCTCGATCTTATTTTGGTATTTATATGTTGAGCAGCTGAAAAAGCTCTTTCCGACTCCACGCTTGTTGGCGGTATTGTTAATAAATGTTCATATGCAAGTTTTAGATGTACCCCCCTAACACATTTTGCTACTTGTCCTTGTTTGGCAACTAAATAATAATGCCACACAGAATTCACCTCGTTTCCTTTCTTATGTTCTTGAAATATATTGGTTTCTGAATTCATACTTTTGATTAAAAAACAATTGTTTTAAAATTAATAATTTTCCACAAGCACGAAGTAAACAAACTTTCCTAAAATTACTTAAAACTTCACTTATTGGAAAAACACTCCGCACTGAATTAAAAAAATATATTCTCAAATTTATCAAACTTCACTACAAAATTGTATCTACGCGTTGAAAAATAACTTTGCACTGAACTACTAATTTCTATTCTAAAACAATTATTTCACTAAATTAATATAACTAAACAACTTTCGATCTCAATTTGTATCTACGTACTGACAAAACACTTTGCAATGAACAAATGGCTGTGGAGTTGTATTAGACGATATTTCAATTGGCACTCTAGTAACTTCCACAAAGAAAAATAATTCCCCGAATTAATGCCTAAAGAAAATAGTAGTCCCCTAGTGACACTAGTAAGCCCATGTCACTTTAAAAATCCGTTACATTTTTATATAAGATAAAATAACATCATTATTGATTAGTCCGTTCTATTTATTGAAATACGTTATGAAGCCCTTTGAAAAGTAATAAATATTCAGTTTAATGACGAGTCGAGATAATGTTGTTTTGACACATGTTTATATAACACAACAGCATGAAGTGATATTTCTTGTCAGCGATCATGAGATTTAAAACATGTACATATGTAACATGTATCCACAAGCGCCATGTAAAAATATCGAAACTACCGGTATTTTTAAGTTATTTACCGGTAAAAATACCGTCGAAAAATTAAGCGGTTTACCGGTAATTCGGTATACCGGTAAACCGGTATTGCATTCCCTAGTGTTGACCTACCGTACTACTGCAAGGTTCGCTGGCTATCATCAGGTCATGTTTTGATAAAAGTTTTGTCTTTACGACGACAAATATTAAACTTTTTTCAAGAACAAGGAAAGCTATGTGATCTATCAGATAAAGTATTTCTGAGAAACCTTGCATTTTTGGCTGATATGATGACAAAGCAAAATAATTTAAATATTTGCCTGCAAGGTGAAACAAGATATATTTATGAAATGTGGCAAAAGATCCAAGCGTTTAGAAAAAAATTATTATTTTTCAAAGCATTGCTTTGTCGATCGGAAATATCAGAACAATTTTTCCCGGAGCTAACTAAAGTGTTAAATGAGCAAAACTGTGAAAATAAAGAATTCGATGAATACGTAGGTGTCTTGGATTGTTTAATAGAAGAGTATACTCAGAGATTTTCTGATTTTGACGAGCACACTCCTGCTATGAAACTTGCATTTGAACCACATTTAATAGAGATATCCGATGCGCCTCCAGAAATGCAAATGGAGTTAATTGATTTAGGGGAAGATAGTATCATCAAATCTCTTTTTAACTCCAAAAAGGATCCCATAAAAATTTGGAAAAATGCCGTTGAATATCCACGCCTTCGAGAACACGCTCGCCGGTTACTTTCCTGCTTCGGAAGTACCTATTGTTGTGAGGCAACATTTTCCCTCTTGTCAAAAATAAAAACGAATTTGCGAACGCAAATCACAGATACACATTTAGAGGATCAACTAAAGCTGTGTGTTTCAAAGATTGATCCAAATATACAATTACTATCAAGCAAAAAACAAAGTCAAATAAGTCACTAACTTAGTGTTTTAAAAAAAAAATTATTGTATTTTTTGTAATATTGTTATATCATTTTATATTATTATTATTACATATTATATTATATTTAAAATTTTGAAGTATTTTATTTACTTTTTTCTATATAATGCAATATAATGTTAAAACTATAAAAAAAAAACTATAATAGTTTCACAAAAGTCACTTTTTAGGTCAATAAGCTTATGCGGCCTCTTTTATTGCTGCCTAATTTAAGTGTGGCCTCCAATGACAAAAAGGTTCCCCACCTCTGGTCTAGTCAATGGGTCTGAATTTTGTGGTGTGTTTAAAAATATCAAATTACCTTCATCGCTAAAGGCAAAGATATAACACTGTGCTCCAATTTGCATGAAATTTTGGATTTAGATTCACCTTATCCTAAAGTTCAAAAACAATTTGGATTCCGCCACTACTCCCCGAGGGAATGCACTTCTTCTCAGTGGTGTAATTTTATTTTTTCAAAATATCATCGGATGTTGATAGAAGAAGTTATCATAAGAAAAAAATGTTTTATAAAGTTTTGCAAAAAAGCAAATACTTTAAGTTACTGGTTATTAAAAATTCGTTTTTTGCAAATATCTCCAAAAATGGGGGTGGCGGAGTGCAAATTGTTTTTACTTTTGAACTTAAGGATAAGCTTAGCCCATTTCCAAAATTGCAAGCAAATTGGAGCACAGAAAAAAAATCAAAGGTTACCATTTTTTCCTCTCTATTTATACTGCACTACTACAGAATGCAACCCAGTGGCTGACCATTCTCAATACCGGTCATTTTCTATGATATTTTTTTCTTATTGTTAAATTTTTTATCTAATAATGATGAGATATGTATGGCAGCAATGTCTCTGAAAGACTATTTTAAATGTTTCTTATTTTAGGTTTATAATTTCAAGTGAAAATCTAATATCACTACTGGTATATTTTTATTTTTATTCTATATAGATACAAATTCTCCGAAAAAATAGACCGTAACATAGCGTTGTTATGGCTCCTTTCTTCATATAAAATGGTAGTGAAAACTGTCAAAATCCTATGTATTTGTGGTGCAATCAAGCGTTTTAAACATAAAACCGAACTTCACGCATGCGTTATAAATGCACATCAGAAAGATGTAGTTATGGTAACATTCTTTTTTGGCGTTTTTGCGTTTTTTAGGTTAGGTTTTATATATAAATTATAATTTCAAGTGAAAATCTGATATCACTTCTGATATATTTCTGATATATCATATATAGAGATCAATTCTCCGGTAAAATAGACCGTAACATAGCGTTGTTATAGCAACATAGTTGTTGTTATGGCAACGCGATGTTACGCTCCATATAAAATGATAGTAAAAACTGGTAAAATCCTATGTTGTGCGATCAAGCGTTTTAAACATAAAACCGAACTTCACGTATGTGTTATGAATGCACATAAGGAAGATGCAGTTATAATAACATTGCGTTTTTGCGTTTTTAGGTTAGGTTGTATATCTAAATTATAATTTCAAGTGAAAATCTGATATCACTACTGATATATTTTTATTCTAATTTTATATAGAGATCAATTCTCCGGTAGAATAAACCGTAACGTTGTTAATGCAACGCTATGTGACGCTCCTTTCTTCATATAAAATGGTAGTAAAAACTGTAAAAATCCTATGTTGTGCGATCAGGCATTTTAAACATAAAACCTAACTTCACGTATGTGTTACAAAAGCACATCAGAAAGAGGCAGTTATGGTATTCATTCTTTTTTGACATTTGTGCTTTTTTAGGTTAGTTTTATATCTATATTATAATTTCAAGTGAAAATCTAATATCACTACTTGTATTCTATTTTATATAGAGATCAATCCTCCGCTAAAATAGACCGCAGCATACGTTACGCTCCTTTATTCATATAAAATGGTAGTAAAAGCTGTCAAAACGCTATGTATTTGTTGTGCGATTAGGCGTTTTAAACCGAAACCGGACTTCACATATGTATTACAAATGCACATAAGAAACATGCAATTATAGTAACATTCTTTTTTGGCATTTTTGCGTTTTCTAGTTTAGGTTTTATATCTAAAACGCTGACTGTACAGCAAATACATAGCATTTTGACAGTTTTCACTACCATTTTATATGAAGAAAGAACCGTAAAATAGCGTTGCCCCATATGTCGTCAATTGGCCCCATAGTATCGTTATAATCTCTCCATTATTATCGATAATTTTTTATTATATTAGCCAACAAACAAAGATTGTAAATACTTTCTACGTTTCGAATTTATTACAATTAGCAAATATTAGGAAAGTAAAATTTCGCATATATGTTCAACATCCCAAGTGAAACTGTATACTAAGAAAGGAAACTTGAGCCGGACGCCGGTCCTATAACTGCTGAAGAAAATATGGGTTAATAATGTCATTTTACCAACACTTGGGGTCATCGAAGCGATTGAATGTATGGAAAGTTCTATTAAATTCATCGATTATTCTCTTTCTCTTGACCTCCTTCCTCGGCGGATTCTTATGATTAAAGAACGCGCCGTGCCCGTCGGATTATTACCTGTCAAGCTCGTTCGCAAACAGGTGAACGTGCTTTTAAAAGGAACGCTGGTGATTGTTTTGGTAAAAAATATTATCTTTATTTGCGAATTTGGGAAAACTAAAGGTCAAACGCTGTAGTCAATGGTAAATGATTTCGAAACTGTAATCTTTACCTCAAATATTGTTCGTTTTATAATTGGGAATTTAAAAAAAAAATGGGTAGTGACGTCACACGCGCTCGGGATTTATCGGCGCGCTTCGGTGGTGGATTCTAACATTAATTTTTATTTTGATATTAATTATTGCGAAAAATAAAAAAAGAAAAAAGTTTTGTTATAAAACTTATATATGATCTTTTCATTTAAAACAAAAAAAAATCGTTTCAAAAGCCTAATTGTAGGATCAGAGTCAGCCTGCAGACGAGAGATAAAAAAACAATATAGTTATGACATTTATGTTTTTAAAAACGATCAAATTTTGTAATGTACATAGTTTTCTTAATTAGTCGGGAGTTATTAATATCATTACAATACTACAAAATAATTAAAAATATATTTAAAATAATTAAAAGTATATTTCAAAGTGAATATATTATCAATTACAAACTAGTGGTGTATGGCATCGTTCCTTGAGATTGAAACTTTTGAAAATCCGAAGTATTTTCGATATTCAAAAAAAAATTTTTTTTTTGGAAATTAAAAAATAAAATAAAAAAATGCTTTTGCCAAAAATAATCGTTTCGTCAATACAAGCAGAAAGTTTTTTGAATCATTCAAATCGGATGTATATTTCTCTCAAAACTGCCATATTTAGCACATTTAGCTCTATATCTCCGAAACGGCTGAACCTGCATTTGCTAAAAACTTTTTTTTTTGATCATTCAAATCGGATGCTCTGTTCCCTCAAAAACTCGATTACTATTTTCTGCACTCTTTGCTCCGTAACTCCAAAATGGTTGGACCGACTTTGCCAAAAATTAGTCAGCACATCTCCCTATCAATAGGAATCGAATGTTTTTTGAACCATTCAAAACGGTTGATCCGTGCGCCCGAAAACGTGGACGAAAAATCGTATCCGCACATACATATACACATACACACGTGCATTTTTTCTAAGACATGACAAAATGTTCAGAAACCTTCAAAACGTGAAGATATGCAAAAAATTTCAAATTCGTTTCTAACCTTATAGGAGGTTAATAAATTGAGCTTGACAGTATAAAAAATATACTACTTTTCTTGATAGTTCAAAATATACCACATTTCTTGATGAATACACAAATACATAAGAATTTTATAAAGAGCTTATGCAAAAAATCTCAGTAGATTAGTGAATTAGTTATTAAATCCCTTAGGGTTTTGAATTAGGAGTTCTAGATTTGATACCCCGTAACTTGATTTCAAGCAGTACTGATATCGATTTTCACTTGGAATTATAGATAGCAATATGCTTACAAGAGAAAATAGCCTTTATTGATCACTGTTTCACCAATAAAAATGCATCAAAATTTTAATAATAAAATTCATTGCATAGAGATAGGATAACCGTTTGGGTTGCCATCTATAAAGCTGCGTCAGCACAAAAATTCATATAGCTCTTTAAGATATATTCGAAGAAATTCATATAAAAATATTTTTTATATATTATCAATCTATCCACACTAGAATAAAATGAAAAATAAGTTTGAAATTTTCCCAATTTTCTTTGTCATTTTACATAAAGAATTACCGATAAATTCATTTATTTATTATTATTCAATTATTTGATCTTACTTATAAGACTAGCTCCTTCAAATATTCTTAAATAAATTTTTACCACTGTCTACAATTTCGCATTCCACCAATAACTTTTATTCTAGCTATAAATTTTATTACCATTAGCTCTGCCACTATTATAAATACTGGAATCTTCCAATTATCTTAATTTTTTACTATCTGATCATATTGTTTTCGATCTATCGCTCAATGGAACCATTAATTTTGTTTAATTTAAATAGTTTTTTGCGTTCATTTTTTGTACTCCAAATTAAAGATTTGGTTACTGCGTAGATATCGCATTTGGTACCATTTATTTTTATGTTATTCTGTGTTTACATTTTTCAATATTATGAAAGAAATATGAAATAACCATCAATGCGATAAGAATTAAGAAATAACGCGTGTTCTAATTTATATCCATGGCCTACATATAGTCATATTTTAAATGGTTTATAAATTACTCCAAATATTTGTTTTACGACGTTTTTTTTTATAAAACTTAGAATACACATTGTAGATAAAATATGTTCTCGGGTTCTA